TCTCTCTCTCTTTCTCTCTCTCTCTCTCTCTCTCTAATTTATTTCTCTTTCTCTACATCTCTCCCTCCAATTCTCTGTTTTGCTCCAATGCCTTTCCATTCCTCTCTAAATTTCGCCGTCTCTCTTCCTTTTCTTTCCATTAACCAACAACATATGTTAAGTACACCAACAACACTTTAGTCAGCTGTGCCACAACATGCTTCTGCACCGACATCTTCATCCAGAAACATGCGGAAAGAAACTACTCGAGTTTCTCAATTCTTACAGCATAAGTAGAAACTACCTCTGTGACACATTCACTGCTCTCATTGGACTTGGAAATAGGACACTCAGTCTCCTCCTACAAGAACACAGCATGTCACATTTTCTTTTTAATGTAGAATTTAGATTTCAGGCCACTAGCGACACAAAAAGGTAATTGGACTCTTGGGGACCAGAAGGCAGAAAATGATTACATAGAAAAACAGTAAAATGTTGGACAACTTTTACTTATTAGTCCCATAATTTTCTTCAACTGATACTTAAAACACACACAAAAACCCTCAGTATATCTGAACCAGAAAATGTTTTAGTACACAATATTTGATCTGAACAGTTTTCTCCTCTTTATCAGCCGTCGGGTTTTTATGCAAAGTAACTTGTGTAGAAAGTCACCTGTAGAGTTAAAAACAATGGTTTTGCATAGATTTCCCAAACTGTAAATACCCCCCCCCCCCTTCTCCCCCTCTCCAAACCGTGTTCTATAGTACATTTGTACGTAATCATATCAGTAAAACTACTTACAACCCTCCTGATGGTATCATTGAGGTTGACCAGGCCCACTGACGGGTCCAGAATATTGGGAGGCAGCACTGTGGCCTGGAGGTCCTTGTTGCGGTCCTGCTCAAAGTCAATGCGCACGGCTCCCACTGGACGTCCATAGGTTGAAGGAACGCAGCTGGACAAATGACAAAATAGAGTTGTTGGGTTTTTTTGGAAATGTTTTACAGCCCTCGCAACTGCATTAGGTCATATGAGCGTGCAAGACTCATTGAACATTTTCATTTTGTAGGAAATTTTGAATTTTGCCCGGGTGGTGACCAAAGCCTACTCTTATAGATTTTAGGGAGTCTTACCCAAGCCATCAGAATGAACAAATGAATGAATGAATAAGAATTATTTAGTTCAAGCCCATCTTCTCAAACATCAAGATAATGTTACAAAAATATTTCCATCAGAGTAAAGCAGTATGCAGTCATATCTCTTCTCATGTTTATTGTAGTTGCAGGGACCAATGATTAATTAACAGATAATTAAATCAACTCACAATTTTTCAGCATCACCATAGTCTGTATATTCGGCTTTGAAGTTACATATTTCATGACCTCAGTGCTTTCTTGTCGTATCTCAATTTTTAATAACAGTGAAAACAGTTCAAAACAAAGAGTGAGCTTCAGAGGAAGTCCCATTTTCACTGTTTACTAAAGTGGAGAGACGACAAGAAAGCACTGAGGTTGCCATTTGGTTAACATAATGCTGAATTTTTTAAATACTTTAAGGGCAAAGCTTAAATCTAACCAAACTTACATTCCATTGATTTTGATGCAAATAATTCTTGGCAGAATGTAGTCCGCACTCCAAGACCTGACTGGAATACCATACACAGCGTCCTGGAAGAAAGGAAGGAATTACTTTCACAATCTGTCCAGATAAAACACTTTGAGTGTGGAAAGATAATGATACTGTCCTTTAAAAACAACAAATACCACTGTCAGAAATAGAAGAACTAGCGTGGGAGAAGAGTAAGGACCAAGACTTGAAAATGTGAAGTTAACAATTACATTGGAAAGAAAAAGTATAATACAAGAATTATAGGCTGACAGTGTACCCATAGCTCTTCAACTCAGTCAAAATTCAACAACTTGCAAGTTTATATGCATCTGAGAGAAAATTGCAAAGGCAAAAATAGGACTCAATTTTGCTACAGAGATAACGAAAAAAAAATTTTTTTTTCATGTGATAAGCAAGGCAAGTAAAAAAAACTTGGCTGAGAACTATGCATGTTCCAAACCCTGGGGCCCGCAAGCTTAGACTGAAGGTTAGAGTCACAATCAGGGTGTATCTATCTGTTGTTCTGACGGACATCTGTAAACAGAACCGTTACATGAGAACACTTTCAATTGACCTAATTTGACCGATAATTGCTCAACAGGTGTGCTTACATTTGTATTCATTTGAACCCCAAAGATTTTTTAAAGCACTTTCCATCCTGAACATTTCAGTGTAAATGTTTTAAAGTGAAAGGCAGAGGCTGTGCTTCCAGCCTCCTAGGGTTTTTTAAACTTCATTAACGTTACAATAAGTGTCATAAACAAATGTGTTTGTCAGAAACAATAAACAATATAATTAAGTATGTGTTACCTTCTCTTGGAAACATCGATTAAAAGTGAGTAAGAGGTTGAGAAATAAAAGGAAAAAAAGGAAGAATAACAGATACATAGGAGAGAGGTGGCTCAATATAATTTGGCTTTAACAAAATGTGTGTGCTTTTATCTGCATGGAAGAAGTGCTGTGAATGCAATGGATCTTTCTTCAGCAATGGCAAGAATAAAATACTTACAATGGCTAAATCAACGCCGTCACCGCCTGTGAAATACAAAGTGGCATAACCGGAGCTGATGTCGAACACAGCCTCAAGTCCGTCTTCTCCCTTCAGCACTTGGCGACATAGAGAACTTTGGGGAAAGAGGAAAACAATATACTGTAGTAAGAAATATAATAATCTGGATACACAATTCGAACCTCTTGAGTAGGCCTACTTTTACACATACACAAACAGAAATACAATGAAATACCTACAACAACATTATGAGCAAAAACAATCACAGGTAAAACATCAAGCTAAAACAAGGAATTCTATTTGAGATTAGAATGGATAATAGTAATTACACTAAAATAAAAATTATGGAGACACCACAAAGAACAAAATAAAAAATACATTAATGAAGACTGACAAGTTCTTAATCATCTGACAAGGAAATCATATATGAAAAATTCAATATGAATACAAATTCAAAACATAAATACACCTCAAGACCATAACAATAATAATAAATGACATTTATATAGTGCTCAACCCCGATTAAAGTACACAGGCTCTGAGTGGTTTATAATACAATGCAATGTACAACAATAACGTAAAATGTTGTTTTCAGAAAAATAGAAAATCTCTCCAAATATTCACCTCATTAATTTAAAAACAGAAATGACTTCAGCTGACATTTGAATAAATCAAAGGGTTTGATCTCTCTTGAAGTACTTGGCAAAGCATTCCAGATCTTGGGGCCTTGATATTCATTGCACACAATATATACCAACAATGTCGGCTTGAGACACATCTATAGGAAGAAAGAGCCCCCCCTTCCCCTCCCCTCCCCCCCCACTTTTTCCCTCCCCCTCCTCTCTCCTCCCCCTCCTCCCTCATTTAGAACATGATCAGAAATTAGAAACTGGACATTACCTGTAAGGACAGCTGGAGAGGGTGACCTGGGCATTGTCTCGGCCGTTGACCGTGGCCACATCAACATCCAGGTTTTGGGACACGTCTCTTGGGTTGTGGTAGCTGACCACAATGAAGTAGTCCCCGGGCTCGGGAACAACCAGGTCAATGAGGAAAGATTTCTGTGGACCAGCGGGAAAATATAATAAGCAGGCTTGCTAACTTTTGAGATACTGAATTCTGGAATTTTGATTGCTCCTGAGCGCCACGAACACACATTTCTGTGATAGGCTACTAAAAAAAACCCACCCATACCACAAAAACAGCTCAAACAAACCAGTGGAGAAACAGAGAGAGAGAGAGAGAGAGATGAGAATGTAACAGTACAGCTACTACACATATTCCTTCGTCCTCAGCATTTCTATGCCTTTTCTAAGAAAAAATTATTTTTTTTTGGGGGGGGGGGGGGGGGGAGACATCATGCAACAATGGCAATTCTGGAATTTCCTGAAAAATTCAGGAAGGTTGGCAAGCCTGAATAAGCCAAGGCAATATGAGATGAGATGAGAGCAGGGAGAGAAGGAAGTTAAAATGGGGTAAACTTTAAAAGCCTCCTGTAGATATCAATAATCTGAAAAATCCTCAAAGTAGAGCAACACTTTTATGTGAAAAATATCTTTAAACCATCACATTATTTTTAAACCTTCAAATTCAAGGTTTAAAAGAAACAACACATAAGATATAGAATGGGGACTGAGGATGACTCTGAGAAAGACATATTTATGGCATGAACTATCCGCACATTTTGAACATAGAATGATGAGTATGAATACAAAAATGAGAAAAATAAGAAGCTTATATAATATGGTAAACCCAACTAAAAAGTAGACATTAAATCCTTCTGATGAGCTTATAAAAAGTCCACTGTTTCCCACAAAGACAAAACAATAGTTAATCTACAAAGCCGTGCTACCTGCTGCTCATTCACATGGGCAAGACCGCTAGAGTCCAGCTCATAGGTGAGGTCAATGTCCGGGTGTTGCTCTGCACCCTTCCGCTGGTTGTTCTCCACAACGTAAGCATTCTCACCCAGGCCGGTGGGGAATCCGTCAATGTCAGGGTACTTGAATGACAAGCAGCTGCAAACAGATAAAAACCAGTTAAAAAACAGATAAAAAGGAGGAATATATCCTACAGACTGAATAACAACATCAATGCATCAAGTATACAGACCTCCGTGGGGTAATGAAAAGGCTCTTCACATCACACACAGAAGAACACAGAGAAATCAGCATATGTATTATAATTCTTTCAAATCAAGGCACCAATTACCTGTGACTGAGCTGAGCAGTACAAAGATATGCTATAAAATTCCCAGGACTATTATAGAAAACAATGAAATTCACTCATGTTTCACACCTAAACTAAAAAGACTGAACAAATAAAGAGATAAGGTTATTTCATATAAACTTTTTTGAAACTTGAAATCACAACAGAATGCCTCTGTTCTACCTCTTCAGTTAAGAGAATGTTTATCTGCAATTTTTTTTCTTTTCTTAAACCTCCACTACCGACAATGCTCAAAAGAAGAAACTAAAACAATAAACAAAAATGTGATATCAAAAAATATTTTTCTTTTCTTTCAATATTACTTACGGTCCAATATCTCCAGAAGCCAAGCATGGGTTCGTCACACTCACTTGCAACTGACTTGCCTCATAGTAACTTTGTGGGATCAACACAAAATAGTCCTAGGGGAAAAAACAACTTGTGATGGGACATAAAATACGGTTGTTGTTTTTTGGCTATATAAATATCTTACTTCCGAAAAGTACAATCAACAATGTTTACAAATTTATCAGACCTTAAGAATCCATATCTCAGTCATATTTAAAAGTTTTAAGTTAGGAGAATACATTTTTAGTATTAAAACAGTGACAGCAGTAAATGTACTGCCATGGAATAAATCCTTCATGCAAAGATCTGCTCACCAAAAACACATTGTCAGGCACATTGGTAGAAATGGTCCATCGTCCTGGGTTGAGCACAAAAGACTGGACTCCTCCACTAGTGACTGTGGCAAATTTGGGGTCTCGGGATGGCACAAAGGTGATTTCTCCAGTCTTTAACAGGAAAGAAAAAAAAGGGGGGGGGAAAATTAGAGTAAAAATACAGAGTTGTCAAAAAAAAAAAAGAAGTCTGGACTATATGCTGACACTTCCAAGGATAATATAAGACAAGTAAGATAAACTTTACTGCCCATAGATTTGAAGAAAACTGACAGGGTGCTTTCACCAGGTTCTTTAACACAAAATATAGTCGAAACTTTCTAAGATTGCCACATATTAAGAGATGAAATTGGTTCTGTAGACATGTGGACATCTAACTCAATGCCATTAAAATGGGGTTTTTTTAATGCATGGGGGGAAATTGCTTATATCTAGTTCGTGATCAGAATGCATAATATCTGGATATTTTGATATTGAAATACTGTTATTCAGAAAAAAAAGTTTAAGTTGACAGGTGTCAAAAAGTAAAACAAAGGAGCCAGGCTCCAAAGCATGACTTTCTGAAACAAATAACGTCCAACTAACTTGAGAGGCAGACAGTGACTGACAATAACACACAGATGAACAGACACTCTGGACACAGCACAGTTAATATAGTGTAAAGCGCATAGAGCTTGCTGTCGAGTGGGGATATGTGCTATACAAATGCTATTATTACTATCATCATTTTTTTTTTTTTGGTCCTGTGTCCTGATTTTGGTGCTAATAATTGTATGTTACATAAAAATGTATTGAGCAGATGCAAATTGTTGTTTCAAAAAAAAATCGAACAAGAAATACACAACAAGAAAAAGAGCAATTGTTTAGTTGGTGACGATGATGATGATGATGATGATGATGATGATGATAATGATGATGATGATAGTGACGATGATGACGCTCTAATGTTGGAAATAATGTGCATGTTAATCTTAGTATTAAGTGTATTTCCCTTTTTTTTTGTGGTGCTAACTCTATTATTTTCATTATTACATGCCACACTGAGCAACACTCACAAAAGCCATGACGGACAAGAAAACAAGTGAAATATCAACACAATAGGTTGCTAAGATCTTTAGCTTTAGTCTTTAGTTTTAGTAAGAGTTTTACGGCACTTGCAACACAATCAGGTCCGATAAGTGTTGATGATTAGAGGTGTTACAAAAGGGTAACAAACACAAAAAAGAAAGAGGGGAGATAAGAATGATAAATGTTCGATTGGAAAGAAGGAGCACACCACCTCAGAAAAACCAACAACAACCCACAAAAGATCTTTATCTTTCATCATCATCAGTGCCTTTCACTCTGGCAGGGTATAGGCCATATACAAGCTCTTTTTATTTATAACTCTGTCCTGGGCCATCCTTCCAAGCTCGTTCCAAGTTAGCTTCACCTCTCTCAAGTCCCTTTCCACACACCTCCTCCACGTTTCCACTACCCCTGCCTCATGCTCCCTGTGGGTTCCACTGCAGTGACTGTCTTGTGATGTTTTTGCAGGGCTTTCTTAAGGTGTGTCCCATCCATCGTCACTTTCTTAGTCCTATTTCAACTTCTATATCCTTTTGTCCTGTCCTTTCCCACAGCTCTTCATTTCGTATTCTATCCTGCCACATAATTCTTAGGAAAGAATACTCCTCATAGATCTATCTTTACCTGAGTAATATCTGTCGGGGCATCTGGCTTGAGGGTTACCGTTCCTTTGACGGGGCCATCCTCCCGGTTGACAAATCGAAAGATGATTTGGTACAAACTGGGAATCCTGATGTCCACATCAAGCTGTACCTCAGGCTGTGGAGTACACAACAGATTGTTACATAGCTGTAATTAATTTATAACGTTTAATTCATTGTAATGAGAACATGGGTCATTACGAATGTTCAGCAGTCTAAAAGCCCAGCTGAAGAGTTGTACACCAGTGGTCAACTAATTAATTAAAAGTTAATTAAACCCGTCTATCTTGACTTCTTTGTGTTATCTTTTATTTCTTAATTATATACACAAGAGTATAACACAGATAACTAGCCGCTCCATTATCTCAGTTAGTATCACGCTGGACTACAGAGTGGATGGCCTAGGTTTGAATCTCCGACAGGGTGTTCTTAAACTCAGACCATTTTGTGGAGTTTTCAAGACTCTCAAACCATTTTAGATGTTCCTATCAGAGACGGATATTAAATTCGGAGGTCCCCTCTCCTAAATGACCTAAAAATGTTAAAAGGGGTGTGATATGATTGCCTACAATATGAAACTAAACTAAGAGAAACTAACGGCTCTCACGCTACGCATGCAGAAATCTTGTATCGCCCTACTTTCACTTCCTAAATAAACTAGACTACCCGCTCAACGTACATGAATCGTCTCATGTGGTTCACAATCTATATCGTATCATTATAATAAGGGGTGTTAAACTTATACAATTACTTTACTTAGAACAGATAACTGAGACAGGGATTTAACCCTGAGCATATGATAGTAATTTCACTTGGAGACAAATGATATCACACTTGGTATTTTATTGAAAGAAGTTTTTTTTGCCATAAGCAATACCCAAAACTTTTTTTAGCTTTTCAATTTCAAAAGTTTTACACCAATATCTTTCAACTACTTTCATTGTCTCCCCCCCTCCCCCCCAATGTAAATCTATATATAAAAAAAAAAAACAACTTAACATACATAAGAATGCCACACAGACATGTGTTCACATATCCTTTGTCTTTGAAGTCACTTGCAACATAAAATCAAAATATTCCAACAACAAAATTACCCCACTGTCATAATCCATTTTCCTTGTGGATAAAACCACACATTCCAATTCTACCAATTTCCTACGAAACCATGACACTGTTACTTACAAGCTACATATATCTCTCAACTTTTTCTGAATTCTACCAAACTCTAATCTTAACACGTACAAAAAACATTTTTTAATACCTGTATCTGGGTCAGAACTGCATAGCCTCTCCATGAGAAATCAGGGAAAATTCTGGTATCATAGCCATATCTGATGCGAGCCCCCTCTGGCGTGGTGCCATCCTCAACCTCAAACTTGTATTGGTGGAGTGAGGGAACAAAGTGACCAGTGATGGGTCTGAGGGACAAAAACGATTACAACAATTACTGGGTAATTCACACATAGTAAAGTTGTTCCTGCATCTGATCCGGACATTGGGGATTGTCTTGTTAGTGAGACAACTTCCTGGGCCTTCTGCATATTGTGATAGGGTGGCCAGTTCCTTTCCACACTGCCTTTACTTGCCCAACTCGAATTCAGATACCCATTACTGCTGGGTGAGGAGGAGGAAGGGTAAAAAAAATCTGTGTCCGAACCGAGGCTTGAACCTGGACTTTCTGCTTCAGAGACGAGTGCACTAACCGCTCCTCCACTGCACCCTCAATTCATACAAAGCAAGTTCAAATTCAGTCGAAATTATTCAAGACGGCCAACCGTTGACAAAAAAAAAAAGGTGGTTGTCTTATACAGGTGGATGTCTTAGTGTTGAAAAAAAAAATAAATTATGTAGTTCATTTCCACAGACAACAATGATTACAAAGTATTTCATATAAAAAAACCCTTTAAAATCCTTGCTTTTTCATAGCCTCACAACAGCAACAAAGATATGTAAACATTTACCTTTCACCACAGAAAATCATTACGCCGTAGACAAAAATCACATTTACTTGGAGGGCTCTCATAACCTAGAAGTTAAGGTGTTCACCTCTCATTCAAAAGTACCGGGTTCGAATACTGGTTGCAACGGAAAAATTTTCTTCTCTAAAATTGTCTTCTTTCACCTCCTTTCCTGCTTTCTTGCTATGTTCTGTCATCTGCTTTCGTCTCCACTTTCTGTCCCCACCCCTTCACCTCCTTTGCCCCCTCCTCTGGGCGCCTGACTCTTTCTGCAGCCTTTCTATTGCTTCTCCTTGGCTCTTTACTGCTCTCTTTCAGCCACACCCCTGATCTTCAAGTAGGAAAGATCTACACATAGCCTTCTCGGACAAGGGTGAAAAATCTCTTAGGTCCCGTGTGTAAGTAGCGGACGTTAAAGATCCCTTGGTGGTCTAAAATCGATAAGAATAGGCTTCCGCTTCCACCCAGTAAAAATTCAAATTTCCCTTCCAACTGAAAATGTTTAATGCGCCCAGCGCGCTCATATGACCTTAAGCAGTTGCAAGCACCCTAAAACACTTAAGAAAAAAACAACCCATTTTACTTATATATCAATTGATCAAAATTGATGTCAACAAGAATTCCCTTCCAATGAAAGCATCAAGCTATTTTTCAATAGACACAAAAAAGAGCACCCAAAAAATTTTTCAACAGAATCTATGACAAGTAATCGACAAACTAATAAGACTCTTTACAACAGAAACTAACTTACACATCACAACGTTTCCCAGTGACTCTCTGTTTGCACAGACACTGTCCGGACGTCTTGTCACACGTCAGCCTCTGAGAGCCACCCCGGTCACAGTTGCAGTCTGAAACAACGACAAGTTTGGATGATTCTAGTACATTCTCATGTAAGCTTTCAAGGTACAAAAATACATAAAAGAAAAACCATCAAAGCCTACATGCTCATGCGCTTTTTGAAGTTATATTATAACTGAACTTTTCACAGCACCTCGTGTAAGAAAATTCTGCACAAAAAGGTAACACATGTATTTTCTTTTCAATAGCGTCATGCAAAAATGATATATTCCTATTTAAAAATTCAAAACTGAACAAGAGGTGTCAAGTTGATTGCAGCTGTAGGATTTTTTTTTCAACCAACTCCTATAGCTTAATATTATCCTTTTAACTCTTTAAAGACGTGTCGGACACATTAGTCAGACCAGAAACAGTTCAAAGTCAATGTTGTGGCACATTTCACACCAACATACACCAACCAGAAACACAACAATGCACATTTTATAGTATACCTGTTGTCCCCTGCCTTTTTAAGTTTCAGAAAAAGAAAACAGAATTGGAAAATTTGTATGGATAACGATGTTAGTTGCATAAGCTTCTGCAAGCGTTCGAATGACCAAAGTTCTCATCTTCAATGAGTAAACAAATAAAAAAGTATGGTACTTACCAACACAGCCAAACGGATTATTTCCATCCAGATTGTAGAAACCGTCAAGACACTGGTCACAGTCCTGTCCACCGACATCTGGCTTACAGACACACTGACCGGTGTTCATGTCACACTTGTTTACGCCTGCCAGGGTGCCGGGCTTGAAGCATTCACACTCTGAAAAAGAGAAGGACAAATTATATTATAATATACTGTCACCGTTGGGCAGCATTATATATCATGTCTCTGTTCTCTCTCTCTTTCTCTCTCTCTCTCTCTTCTGGCACTGTGGTGTCATAAATGCTCAGCGATGCCGACAGCATGCAGGAATTCAACACTTGCTCGGGGGTCCTTGAAAAGTGCTGAGTGTGGGTCACTGAAATGTCCCAGTAGACGAGTTTCAAATACACAAAAAATTACTGATACTGATATGTTCTGTTTTCAATTCTTCTGTATATAAAACATGAAAATTCTTGTTGAAAAGTGCAAAACATGGCGTAGCGGTAACTTGCATGATTTTTGCATAATTTTGCATTTGTCTTGAATAATTTGGCCATCTAAATTTGCATAATTCTGCGGGGACAGTGCAGGTTCAACCGTAACGGAGTGTCCCAACTCACCCTCACAGCCATCGGGGTTGTTTCTGTTGAGATTCCAGTAGCCAGGCTTGCAGGTGTCACAGATACGTCCCATCACTCTGTCCTTGCACTCACACAGCAGGCCACTAGTGACGATGCCGCATCCACCCAGAGGGTAGCCAGGAATCTGCTTGGCTCCATTAGGGTTACAGTTGCACACTGATAAAGAAGACAAGAAAGATAAAACAATAGTAGATAATAATTGAAACAAATAAATGTGAGTCTGAAGTAAAAGACCTAGGCTTCTGATCTGTAACATAAAAAGATACAGAAGGTCATTTTTACCATCATTCATCAAAATTCTTTCATTTTAACCATATTTTTATAAGTATTCATATGACATAATACTGTTCCTTTATATTATGCATGTGACTGTAGACCTGCGTGTGAGTGCATGTTTGTGTATGTGTGTGAGTATGTGTGTGTGTGTGTGTGTGTGTGTGTGTGTGTGTGTGTGTGTGTGTGTGTACATGGTGAAACACCAAACCAATGTGCCAGGATCTGGACAATAAAGATGTATCTTATCTAACCCTATAAATAAGTTCCATATAAATTACGTTCTTCGCCTTTTCCTATACTTAGCTTATATTGGCTGTTTTCCAAACACCTTCCATATATCTGCCATCATAAGGGAAAATGACAAATGGTCCTGCGCAGGTAGCAAGGCAAATTTTTCAGAAGAGGCAAAAACTGTTTTCACTTTATAACTATTTTATTTTTCACTCTTTTAAGCTGCAATTCACCAGATATCTGATTGAGGTGTTCATAAAGCAGTTTCTAAAGTTTGAATGGTTTAGGTTAAAAAGTAACAAAGTTATTCAACATTCGTCTTCCTCCCTTACATTGCGCACCCGCAGGTGAGCCTTGCGATGTATGCGAAAACGACGAATGGTACGGTTCGTCATTCTCCTTTACACTCGTGAATGTTTATGGGCGTAGGCGATGGTCAGTTGTGATGCATTATTGACATTAATGACTGTGTACTGGTTACTATAAATAAAAATAAGACACATACAAACTAGCTATTATACGTATAAAGTTAGGTGTTTGTTATATCCCAACTATAACTCGGTAAACCTCCTTCTTTTCCCTTCCTCACTTGGGTAAATACTACACAGTCAGTGTACAAATCAGATGTGCACACATTTTCAACAGCTTGATTTCAAACTGTCTCATTCGGAACCAAAGTTTCGTCTCCATGATATCTCTCTATTGTATTCTCTTCAGAAGCGAGTTTTACTTTTATTTCCGCTAAGGACCTTTCGTTAACTGCAAAATTTTCTCTGCATGACCAAAGGGATCAACAATGTTACAATGTCAATAATATGATCAGATCATTGCAAAGTATGACAAGACTGTTTAACAAACGCTTTTGGGAGAGGTAATGCAACGCTTTTATTTAATAAAGGATTCAGTTGATCGGATCGGAAAACATACCACAAAGTAGAGATCGACAAGGACAGTTTGAATCTGCAAGACATTATTATACTCGATCATAACGTCCATCAAGGCATAAAAAATCGTAAAGCAAGACTAAGTGTCGCCAAAATAAGTCCACTTTTTAAGTTGGACAAAGAAATTTACTCTCATAACGCAGTGTTATTAATTGCTTGGTAATTCTATAATGATGTCGACGAGTGACACGTGCTAGACAAATTGTGGCACTACAACCATCGTTGGCATTTGGGATGTCAAATGACTGGACAGCAAACTAACATGACGTTAGTCTGTGAACATCTGGTGGACACTAAATGCAGTGCTAATAAATTTCTCCCTAAATACTTTTTTGACCCTCTCATCCCCACCCCCTTCCCCCTGTTCCCATCCATTTTCCCCTCTCTCCCGCCTGCTCTTGTCAATTCACACCATCAGCATATGCCTAATACGTGAAGACAGACAGAAAGACACACTAAGTGATACATTCATATAACCCTGGTCGATTCTACTCTGGGGGAGGGGGTGGTCATGTATTTGTTTGCAAAAAACCTAGTATGTTTGTACTGACACAACAGTGACCAATTGTCATTCGTCGCCCATGCCGAATTTGCCCAACGGCAGCGACCAGGGGACAACGCCGAACGAGCAGTGATCCTTGATCGATCGACCATTCGTCGTTCTCCCTTACACTGAGCTCTGGTTCGGAGCTCGTCTGTGTACGGGAAAACGACGAACTCTCATTTACGAAACAATGGATTAGGATAGACAAAATTTTTTACACCATCAGATGCAGAATTAAATACTCTATGATAAAAATAACAAAATCGGAAAATTTTGACCATTCGTCGTTTTCCCTTACGACGGCAGATATGACGACCTTTGCCCTTCCCCATCTCTTTCTCATCATCAAACACTATTATGCTATTCCAACTGCATGTATTATTATCTGTTCTACTACTTATTATCTTCTAAATTTGATCCACGTTTTTGTTATCAATCCAGATTTTTTTTCTTCTAAAGTACCAAAAAAACTCCTCCCCCAACC